TAACAACTCCAGAAACCAATTAGCCATGAACTAACGTGATGGGGGAAAGCACCAGCTAGAGAATTGACGCAGGCATTTGAAGATCTACCGCTGTCTGAATGCACGGGCGTTTCGGAAGACTTCGCTGTGAAAGACTTAAAATAATGTAGGTTTTTAGTTTGAGTTCAGTTAGTTTCGTGACCTGCGGTAAAATATATACAAATTTACATCTTTATATATGTAATCCACGAAGAAAGTTGTTCATCTACCTCCTAGAGATCTTTCAGAATACAAAAGTGCCCACGGAATAAATTAAATAATTTGATAGTTAAAGCAGTTTTTAATCAGAAGAAAAGAACAACGAAAAACATTGATTTACAGACCGTATCAAAATTGAATTTCATTTGGTACAAAATTTGAATTTTAGGTTTCCTATAAATGGTAATTCATTAATTGCTTACAATTAATGTTTATCTAAAGTAAAATGTTCGATATTTCTTTGTTTAATTGATAATCGTGAAGTAGCAAAGATTATCATAACTTAAAAGGTACTTTGTATTTGAAATTTGCAAGAGAAAACTTAGAATGTATAACAGCTTTTAACAATATTTTTATACGACCTCTAAAATTTTATAATAATGTTTCCTCAAATAATTCTGACTGTATGCAGAGGATCTCAGTTTTCTCGATCATTTCGTACATGCTTATTAAAACATTTCATTAAAACTAAAACGGTTACAGTTTAGATCCTTATCTTATTTAATTCATTACTTATCTACAGCCATGAGTCTGCGAATCGTTTAAGAGTTATCATGTTATGTAATCTCCTTCAAACACTCTGTGTATCATAAAATATTTGTATTTGTTACGTTGGAGAAAAACGTTAGAGCAGCTTGTAATTACCCTGAAGAATCTTGCAAGGAGGAACTAATTTGTCCCTCCGGTGCATAGTGGACCTTTTTTAGAGCTTCTAGGACCGTAACGCCGTCCGTAAATACTCGATATGTCAACAGGAAGGTGTTCAGGAAGTCTATGCTCAGAAATCGCAGATCCGTCAGGCGCTCGAACAGGCGTTCAGGACTGGCGTATCGGATCTATCAAGAAAATGATAGCATAAATATCATAAGCATGCTGAAGAATAAATAAGACCAGCATTTTTTGCTTTATTAATACAAGTGATAACATGAAGGCTGAATCGAACATACAGCAAATGTCGGCATAATGGCTTTTTAAGGGATTTAAGTCATTCAAACGTCTCTCATTGTCAGATGGCTTACTTTTTTTTTTATCAAAATCTATTCAAACTTATTTGTATCGAAAATAACGTATCTATCCCAATCACAGAACCTAACTCTAGAATATTCTTTAGAAGAATTCAAACGTACATCTATTGGTGTGTGTGATTTCCCTTCAATCCTATCTTCATGCCTTAAACGTTTTTTATATATTTGTGCAACTGCTTTTGTTAAAACACCGCTTTTGTAAGCATCCTGTAGCCTTCACAATGACAGATAAACAGCATTTGTCTTTTGTCATATCTCGACAACAGTGTTTAGTTTAACGTCCTATTAATTATTTACTTGCAACGAAGAAAATAATTATTACATATTTATACAGAGGAAAAATCATATCAGTGACACATGAAGGTTTGATTATCTGTGTTCGGTTAGATAAAAAGGCCAACTTTTACATTGCTTTCGGGATGGACATCCTATTAAAAACGTTTTCTGAGCTCGTATTTATAAAATCTCTTAAACCACATGAAAAACTGAAAACCAAGCTTTGGAATCCTAAACGAGAAATTGCTGTAATCTTTAATTATTCATTAGAAGGCATAATTCTTAGTTTAATGCCTTCTACACTAGGTATTAAACTATACTGAAGTGACAAAAGTCATGGGATAGCAATATGCAAATGTACAGATGGCAGTAGTATCGCGTCGAAAATGTACAAATGCGAAGTGCTTTGGCTGGGCTTTCATTTGTGTTCAAGTAATTCATATAAAGAGGCTTTGACGTGATTATGGCCGCACGACGAGAATTAACACACTTTGAACGCCGAATCGTAGTTGGAGCTAGACGCATGGGTCATTCCATTCGGATATCATAAGGGAATTCAACATTCCGAGATCCACAGTGTCAAGAGTGTGCCTAGAGTATCTAATTTCTGGCATAACATCCTACCATGGACAGCGCAGTGGCCGACCACCTGCACTTAACGACCGAGACCAGCGACGTCTGCGTAGAGTTGTCAATGTTCACAGACAAGCAACATTGCGTCAAATAACCGCACAAATCATGTGGGACGTGTCCGATAGGACAGTGCGGCGAAATTTGTCTTCTTTGGGCTATTCCCAGCAGAAAGACGACTCGAGTGCCTTTACTGACAGCACGACATCGCCGCAGCGACTCTTGTGGGCTCTTGAGCATATCGGTTGGTCCCTAACGAATTGAAAACTAATACATAGTGTAAATGTTTTTTGCAAATACCAGTTTAAGCAGTTTTCTGCCATAACGGGCATTTTAAAGCTGGAAGAAGGTGCAGAAAGCTGTAACCTTGGAGTTTACAGGTGACAGGTGACGGAGGACGGGGACGCCTGATGTTTAACAGAGGTAAACAGGCATATGTCCCGCGCCCTCCCCTATCTAGTGGCAGCAACTCCCAGGAGCCTCATGAGGCCACCTTGGGAGTTTATTGAAGAATTTTACGTAATTGTACATGGCCATACAGAGGCGTCTTAGGAATACATTAGTTTTGATCGATAGGCGGATGATTTGTTACATCTTGGTTTGTTAGACACTGTTAGACACTAATTACAGCATATACATACACATACAAGTACATACACTTGCACATATAAAGATACATACAAAACACTTGTAAAACACATATAAAAGCACATATATAACACATATAAAACATGTAAGCACATTATATAAAAATAGAAATTAGATACTAGTTTGCACACACTTATACAAGTAAAACACATACTTATAATGAAACATATTTAAGCTAATATATAGTATACACTTACACTAAAGACACACATTTAGATAGACATTTAGACACATTTAGATCACATATCACATGTAAAATGCGCAAATAAACATACATAAAGCATGCAGGCACACTGTAGAATATTAAATTTTGTTATTAGATGATATAGTAATTACAGATGAAACTTTACTCTGGAGAATACATTATGCAATACATTATATCAGGTACACAATACTTATTTAATTTGAATAGATATGCAGCGCTTTTTATATACATAATGCTTACAGAATTGATACACAATGTAAAAACAGATACACTATGCTTGTAAAGCATTAGATATTAGAATTTATACTGCGCACAATTGTACAAACGAAATAAGACACTATACTACTATATACAACACAGTTATGGTGTACAATTATGCAAACACAATTATACTAACGTATTAAAACGCAGAATAAAACACTATACTACGGTATATAACACAATTGTGCACAATTATATAAACACAATTATACTTACACATTAAAAAAAAATCTATACTATTGTATACACACAATTATAGTACGCAGCACCATGCATGCTATGTTGCCAAGCTATATATTTCTATGCGAAGCTATGAGATTATACAGGTAATGCAGATACAATATTGATAGATATAGATGAATTATACATTATGCATATGTCAGATACAGTGCAGATATAATACAGATAGTTTGAGTAATACAGATATGATGTGCAGGCAATAACTGTAGTGGAGACACTATGTTATAGAATGCGCTGAGCTTATTTTATATTATATTAGATGCACAGTGTTTATTGGATTAAAGTAGGTACACAGTACTTTTTATATACACATTGCTCACAGAACAAATGCACAGTGCAAAGTCAGATACACAACAGGTTGTAAGGTATTGCAGGTAATGCACACGCAATGTAGATAGTTGCATAGTAATTATATGCTTTATATACAGCAGATACTGTGCAGAATTTGACAAATTCAGTGCAGAATGAGGTGCATATTTATTGCAGATAGTTTGTATAACGCGTTTGTGTAATACAGTACTGGCAATGACTGTAGGAGAAACACTATGTTGTAGAATACACAGTGCATATTAGTATTGTAATAGATACATGATGCTTGTTATATACACAATGCTTACAGAATGGTTACACAATGGTTACACAATGCAAAGTCGGATACACATTTGTTTTACACTGTTCAGTTAAGCATGGACTAGCATGGACATGCAAGTAGTAACCTGTGATTAGTCAGTGTTGAGCTCTGTACACTGTTGATAAGTTCTGTACACGATTTGTCAGGGCGTTCCAATTACTCTGCGCACAGTACCTTATACACTGATATATAACTTGCAGTTGTTGTAATAACTGTGGTTATTCCAGGAAATACTTCTATAGATATTTCAGTCGTTGTAACTACTACAGAGACACAATGCAGGTAGCAGTCTGTTCATAGTCAGTAGTTTGCTCTATACGCCGTAAGTGAGTACTGTACGCAGTAAGCAGCTATGTCTGCAGTTATGTTGCAGTGCAGTTATGTTATAAGCGCAGCACATAATTTAAACATATTGTAAGTTGCATTCAGCTGATTGTCAGTATAAGAGACTGTCAGAATTCTGTTGATGATTTGGTAGTGAAAGCTGACTGTGGTTGCTTTATGAGACGCCTTAATTGACGCTAGTTTGGTTGGCAGATATCTTGCCCTAGGTCGTTGACCTGCCTAATTATTTGGCAGATCTTTTTGACCGCTGGTGGGTGCTTAATGATGAATCGTTTATATGATTCTATATTTGTGGCTGGGAGTGGTAGGTGTAAGTTGGATGTAAGGCTGCATTCAAATATGTAGTGGTCGGGGGAGCCAGTTGCCCCGCAGACGCATATATCTGTCATCGAAATTGCATGTCTTTGAAAATAGGATGGAAATGGGCCGTGCCCCGTGATATAGTATGTCAAGGGTGCAATGGCCTGGAGACGTTCGTTGTCTACTATTGGGTAGAATCCATGTGTCCTTCTTCCTGTATCACAGTTATCCCACTCCTGTTGCCACTGTTCTTTGCTTAGTTCTCTTAGCGTTCGCTTTAAATACGAAGTCGGGATTGGAGTTGTCACCTCTTGCGCGTCGTTGTTGAGTGCCGCCTCGTTTGCTAACTGGTCTGCCATCTCGTTACCCTCTATGCCATCATGTCCTTTCACCCAGATTAGTTTGATGTGTGTTTGCATATTGTTACGCAGGAGCTGTTGGATTGCTATAATTGTGGGTGAGGTATGGTGGTGATTCATGATTGCCTGTAGCACTGACATGCTGTCTGTGTGAATTTCGGTTGCTGCTAGATTGATATCCTGAGCATACTGAATTGCAGCTGCTATTGCCACAGCTTCTGCCTGGAAAATGCTGTTGTGGGTAGCGAGATGGCCTTTCCATTTGCTTTCCACTCGGTCATTTTTGAAGTGAACGAAGGCGCATCCCACTCCATTGTCATGCTTTGATCCATCGGTCGGTGTAGAATCGTGAGTTCACATGTGGAGTTTCTCTGAGAGGCGTTGGGTGTTGTGCTGTCACGACATGGATGCCTTTACTTTTGTGTGCCGGGTGCACATACTGCACACTCCCTGGTAATTCATACTGTGTTGCATGGAAGGCGGTGCCAGCAAAGTTGGCATCTTGTTTTAGCCTAATTAGGCGCTCATATGCAGCTTCTATGCTGGCCTTTATGTGCAGGGGTGTTAGTCCCGCAAGGACCGTTATTGCACTTGATGCCGTTGTCCTATATGCCCTACTTATGTTTAGAGCAAATGGCCGTTGTATTGTTGTCAAGAGTTTGATCTTGCGACTGCTCATTGGTTGCGCCCATATAGCCGATGCGTAAAGAACAATTCTCTCCGCTACCGTTAGATATAGCAGTTTCTGGATGTGAGGGTTTTGCCCCCAGTTGCTTCCCTGGAATTGTCTGGCTTTCTTAGCTATATTTGCTGTCTTGACTCTGATGTCTTGAAGGTGGGGCAGCCATGTGAGACCCTGATCCCATGTAAGTCCGAGATACTTTATGGTTTTTGAGATCTTTAGATTTCGTCCCAT